AAAACTGTAAATCATATCTCAGTCTTATGTTTACATCTGATCCACCATGTTTTTATCACACAGAATGAACGGAAATGACTTGAGATCTGTACTGAATGACATTTCGTTTTGTTTACACTCTGTATGTACAAAATAACAATAAAGTTTGTCTAAGTCTGAGACACTAAAGCGAGATTTCAGAAGAAGCGCAACAAAGTAGGCTTATAATAAACCTAAAGGACCTCTGATCTGGGCCGTAGAAATGATCCTTAAAAACTACAATCCCCACACTCCCCTTAGAACACAATGATTGGTGGATGAGCGTGTGACGTCATCGCTTGTTGTATACAAATTTGCGTTGAACGCTTTTGCGCTCAGGGTTGGTGGTGAAACCTGAGAGAGAGCAGCTCAGCAGCATCCGCAGCTTGTTGGAGGTGGGTGTGACAGGCAGGCAGCATCTCTGTAGCTGATTCTCTCATCTGTCGGTAGGAACATCTACCTCAACTCAAATATATTTGATATGATGTGGGGTTTAATTTCAGTTTACAAGTCTATATGTATTTTTTCAATCCTTTTGTTTTGATCACGTCGTGTGACTAATGGCTGTAATTAATATAAAACTCTGAAATGTGCTTCCGTTATATTTGGCTTAAAGGAGCAGAAACGGCCGTTGTTTGTTGGTGGCTGGCAGCCTATTGTTTTCCTGCAGGCGGTGGCACGCCTGGCACCGAGGGGACATTTGGGCCACTTCTTTGTGCTCGTTTTAGATCTAAAACATGGATAGAAGTTTCTATAAAAATGCTTTTTTTCGGTTCAAACAAAAGCATTTTGAAAAAAAAAAAAAAAACTATAACCGTTGTGAGTGCCCCTTTGTTTGCAGCTGCTAGTTATTTAATTAATGAAAGGGGGAAAAAAAAGCCCCTTTGTTTGCTTCTCATTACAAACGGAGAAAATGGAACCGTTGAACTGAAATCAACGGATTTTGTTTTGTGGTCATTTTAGATCTGGAAGCTTCTTAACATTTAAGCTGTTCAGTGTTTTTTTTTTTATTGTTTATCGCGGCCCTTGTCATTAATGAATGTTAAAGAATTGACGCGAGCGGTTGGTTCCTCCAGGGAAGTGAACCCAACTGACATCTTCTAATTCACCCCAGAATTGGCACAAAGAACAGCTGTCCTTAATCAAATTTTTTATGAAGCATAGCAACTCATTTTAATATATTAAAAAAAGACCTGTTTGGAGCTGGCCCTGCACCCATATCTGGGTGGCTTTGTTTCCCCATATGTGCACTGATTCCCCCCTCCCCTCCCCGCTGCCAGACACATGGTGCAAGGAACAGGTGCTGCCTGATGACTTTCCCTAGATCTGCTCATTCAGATTCATACATGTCATTCATATCTTGCATAAGCAGTGCTAGACTTTTGTTGCTGCTAATTGTGCTGAAACCCATTTAGTAGTTTGTTTGTTTGTGTGGATGGGGGGGGGGTCGGTCCCTCCCTTGGAGTCCGGTGGGGGGGGGTGTCGATCGGTCCCTCATTGATCGGTGTCGAAGCCATTACATGTTGGAACATAAACAATGGCGTTTGGCGACACAGACTGTCTGTGTTTGGATTGATGGGCGGTGGTTTCCTGTCGACATAAAGTGTGCCGCCAGATGGCGCTGCTGAGACATTTAATTGTTTAAACAAAGATGATGAAAATGATCCCAAATCATCTGCTAGAGACGTTTTTGCCAAGAGTGAAAATGGTTTCCTAAAATTAAGATTTCAGATAAATATGTTTATTTTTCACAAACTAAATTAGATCTTTTGTTAAAAATCTGGGTATTTTTGTGTTTCCTCCAATTAAAGCATTTCTTTTAGCAGATGGTCAAATTTGTTGTTTTTGCACCTCTGAAAATCGATATAATCTGTCAGCTTTTATATGAGAATAAATGATCTCTATCTTTCAGGTTACCTGTTGTGCACACGTGTTCAAAATGGCATCAGCTGAAGGTAGATTAATAATAAAATGACCATCAATGTCTATTGGCTTTCGAAGCTTTTATTTCTTTTAAACTCTTTTGTTTTTTTGTTTTAGATATCCAGGTCAAGGAACTTGACAAGCGGGCATCTGGCCAGGCATTTGAAGTCATCCTGGGTGCTCCAGCCCCAGATGCCAAAGGAGAGTTTCCTCTGTCTCCTCCCAAAAAAAAGGACGTCTCACTCGAGGAAATTCAGAGAAAGCTGGATGCTGCAGAAGAGAGACGCAAGGTAGAAAGACCACAAAGTAATAAGTAATAATCAGTGTTTATAGGAGTAGAAAGTGCACATGGCAATTAAACTATAAAGAGGGTAAATGGTGTGGAAGGTAAACCAAAACTTTACAGGTGAACTTTCCTCTCCCATCAGAATCACGAGGCCGAGGTTCTGAAGCACTTAGCTGAGAAACGAGAGCATGAAAAGGAAGTGCTACAGAAAGCTATGGAGGAGAACAACAACTTCAGCAAGATGGCAGAGGAGAAGCTCAATCAGAAGATGGAGGCCAACAAAGAGAACCGCACAGCGATTATGGCAGCCATGAACGAGAAATTTAAGGAGAAGGTTGGTTATCCCTCTGTTGCTTGCATATGGATGAAGCCATTTGCTACAAGGTAGTAAATATCTTCCTTTCTTTAAAGGACAAGAAGTTGGAAGAAGTGCGGAAGAATAAGGAAGTCAAAGAGCCCGGCTCAGAAGGCACCTCAGAGGACTGAGAGGAACAAATGGGGATCATTTAGGGTTTTATACGTATCCAAAGATTGACTTATTTTTTGTTCAACCAGTATTGTTTTTTCAAGTTCCACTTTGAAAAATTCAAGTCTCCTGATAAAAGTGTAGTTGCTCTTGTTTTACATGTGGCTAATTCCCAAGTCTGCTGTTATCATCTTTTAGCTTGTTGGTGCAGCTTGAGCCTTTTTCCTTTGGGTGTTGGCAGCATTTTGTTTTAGTCCTTTGGGAAGCATGTTCTATGCATTGGTCTTTTACCACCAACTATTTCATAGTGGGTTTTGAAAATGTCTGTGAACCACACCTGTCCTTGGCACTTACTGTGTATTTAAAAAGTAGCACAAGTTTCCATCAAGGTGTTTGCTGTTGGACATGCAGCATAAGTCCCAGATTCTGCTGACACTTACCTGCAGCTTATGGTTTTTGCATCACTACAGTTTCTTGGCTTTTGAAAAAACAAACATTGAAAACTCGGGTTGACTTGAAGCACATGACTTTTTGCTGTATAGCTGTGAATTAACGTGCCCCACATGCAACTGGAGGTAATCACCAAGCGATGTCTACTCATGAAATGCATAACAGCAATACAGTGGCATTTCAATAGAAAGTGGCTAGTTGACTTAAACTGTTGTACTAAAATAAAATAAAGTCCAAACTTGGTTGCAGTTTCTTTTTTTTCTTTTTTTTTTCCTACCTTGTAACTGGGGAAAATTTGCTTGAGCAACTCCTGTGCTTGATTAGTGCTCCCTCTGCTGGTTTTTGCATCTGGTAAATTTCAGTACAACCCCAAAGCTTCAGGCTCTTTAATCTATTGAGGGGATCAAAAGCAGCTTGGGCAACTATTGAGTGCCGATGCTTGACTTGCTACATTAGGTGAGGGTTTCAGGCCATCTACCTGCTAAACTATAGGACTATATTAGTGGTGTCAAAAGTACACACATTTGTTACTTCAGTAGAAGTATAGATACTGCAGTTTAAAAACACTCTGGTAAAAGTCGAAGTATCAACTTGATCTCTTTACTCAAGTAAAAGTGAAAAAGTTTGTGCTCCAAAAACTACTAAAAGTGTAAAGTAACCTTTAAAAAAAAAAAAAAAAAAAAAAAAAGCCAGATGCTGCTACATGGATATGGAATGAAGCTCAATTTCTCGACATTTTTAAAAATTCTTTGAGATTGGGCCAAGTTGATCTTTTTTTGGTCTCCGTCTCCCGATACGCTCGCCTGTGTCCGACCTTTCAGACATTTTAACATCTTTTTCTGAATCAATCATTGTAGCATGGCATAGATGATTCACGTTTGAAGAACACCTGCTTGCTTTAGATGATTTCCTTTAGCTAACCAATGAGTGTTTGCACTATATGACTCATCCAATTACACTGGTTTTCACTAGATGTGGATGGTGCCAATGATCTGCATTGGATGGAGCACATGGCGGGAAATATTTATAAACATTAAACCGAAGCCAAGAGTAACGAGTAATTGTTTTAAAAATGTAAGGAATAGAAAGTACAGATACTTGTGTGAAAGTGTAATGAGTAGAAGTCAGAAGTAGGAATTAAAATAAGTAATGGAGTAAAGTATAGATACCTAAAAAGTATACTTAAGTACAGTAACAAAGTATTTGTACTTTGTTACTTGACATCTCTGGACTATATACAGGGTTGTCTGTACTGGTTCCATGAAGTTGACTTAACAGATTTTAAAAACAAGTACGAACAATACTATTCAGGTGTTTTGTTTTTTTTTTATGTAAAATTGAGCATCAAAGCTTTACTAACCAGTCTAAAATCTAAATTTCAGATTT